AGCATATGGTTGAATTACTGTAGTTCAGTCTTTGTTGGACAGTCCGTGAAAGTAACTCCCAGTTTTAGCTAGGGATCCCATGGCTGCCTGTGTAGTGAGCAGTGTTTCACACAGAGCATGTTAACACCATTGTCCATCATAGACTGCCCCGGCTTTCAGTCACTTTCCATGGATAAAGCATGGTATTGGGGTCTTCAACAAAGAAAAGTTGTTGGGGGTTGTTTTCCAATTTAAATCCAGGATCTCTAAGATCCCCTCACTCTGTGCTAGAAAAAGCTGATTGCATGTTCACTACTGGTGTGTGCAGTGGTAAGGGACATGAATGTGGATGTACTCTTGTCACTGCATCATTTAACATCAGTGAAGCAGTGTGTGCTACGAATTATGATTTCAGGTTTGCTAGTGCAGATGCAGTCTCTTCAAACTTCAACTTGGCATTTAAATTTAGCCAGGATGCATGAGCATGAGAACCTCATTTTACTTTAAAGTCTGAGGAAAAGAGCAGAAGGAGCTCTGAAGATGCAGGATTTGGGACTGTTGACCAGTCATGTGGTAAGATCTGAGAGAGGAAGAATGGGTTGTGGTGGAGGCACTGGGATAGGAATCCAGACATTTGTATTTGTTGTGCATCAGTCTTTAAATGTGACCTTCGTTAAGTTACCTAGGACCAGTTTTTCCAGATAGCTCAGTACCAAGAGGCTCTAACAGGATCACTTACAGTTAGGTGCTGAGTGAATGTGACAAATCTAACAAGCTGAGGTCATTGGAAAAACATTTTTAATACTTAAATGGGAGCTTAACTTCTAATCTTTCTTTTTCTTTGTTTCCAATCTGTAAGATAAGGAGAATACTTCTTTTGGTTTTGTCTCTTTTAATTAAAAGGTCTTTAATAGTGATTCCCAAATTAGGGATCACAACCCCATGTGGGATCATGAATGCTATGGAAGTTCTTTTGGAAGGCTCAGGTGTGAACTGCGAATAAAAACACAAGCCTATTAGAAATGAGGTTGTGGGTCTGGAAAGATTGGAAACCACCTGGGACAGAGATTTCTTATTGGTAGTAAGAGTTTGTGCAACACTTACTACATGTGAGGCCAGAATCTCATCATACAAATTAAAGTACATTAGTATTATTATTTTATTGCCATAACTTGGTGTTAAGATAGAAACCCTATTGTTTGGGGAAAAACATGGGACTTGGGTTGCTGAAGGGGACAGGGTCACGAAAAAGACTATGTTAGTAGCCGACCAGACCCAACTGACGAGGATCTACGCACCGGGTGGAAATAAGGGAGATGCAAGTGGCCACCATGCTTAAAAGGCAGACAGCGATGGACAGGACCTTGCCCTCAGGGCACTTGGGGAGAGAAAGGAGTCCATGGTGGATGACAGACAGAACGGAAACACGTAAACCTGAGGGACCATGATTCGACAGCCAACTGGTGAGCGGCAGAGTACTTACCCGAGGGGTTGCAGGGAGAGAGGGCGGCTGAAGACAGTTCCAGGGACCCTGGAAGAAAAACATTAGAGAAGGAAATTAGGGTGAGGGGATCATGGGGAAACTCAGCGAGGTGGTGAGGGAACTGCATCCCTGTTAAAGGACAACAAGCACAGGTCTGTGGGATGATGAGGAAACTGCATCCCTGTTAATGAGCAATAAGCGTGGCTCATTAAGACTTTGTAACAATCACTCAATAAATAGAACGCATTGTTAAATTCTATCCTGGTGGTCAGTGGCATCTCACCTCACTTGGGGAATAACACTTATCATTTCTCCCATTTCAAGTCGTGGCAGGCGAGCTCTGAGTGAGGTCAGGGAGATGCATCCACCCTCTCCTGCCTCCCTCCCCTCCCCAAAAAACCCCAACTTTTGTGTATTGTGGATGGAAGAATAAGGAGCTCTTTTTATTGATTTAGGTGACATGTATATGGCATATGTGAATATGGCATCCAAAGTCCGCTTTTTATATGGTTTTTAAATAAATTGAAATAATATTTTTTTTTTGTTAAAGTTGAAAAATATATAGAGAAACTGTGCCATATTCTGAAGGTTTTTGCAGGGTGTCCTATTTAGGAAGTGTGAATTTATGCATTAAATTTCAGACTCTTACTCAGAGGAAAGTGAATGTTTGTCAGGATTAACAGAATCCTCTGCATGAAAAGTGTTAAAATTGGTTGTCAGGATAACAAATGTGTTCCTGTTGTTCTCTGTTTTGAGAGTCATTCTAGCATCTTGATATTCCTTTAAAAATGCATATAATTAATGTACATGTGTTAAGACCCTTTACAGACAAAGGTTGAGATGCAAATAAGGATTTTGGTGGGTTTAAGATCCTGGTCCAAAACTACAATAAAAAAACCACAACCACTCAGTAGCTGTTTGACCCTGGAGGTGTCTAATTTATAAGGCATCTCCCTGTTTGACACTAAACTTCCATAGTCACCTACAGTTTTGCATCTGTTGGGACCCAGAAAGTAGGTACTACTGTGCTTTGTCCTATGAGAGGTCCAATACAATAGGCTTCCCATCGCCAAAGCCCACCCAGAACATGCAGACAGGACTGGGCCTCTAACAAAGCACAAGCATTTCCTCTTTTTCACAGTGCAGGCAGTAAGGAGATGATGGTATTGATACTGCTACCCTACTTTATGTAACAGCTGAGTTGCTAGAACACTTGCTGAAGAGTAGAAGTCCCAGGTTCAATGCCTTCCTCAGCTTCAGAGGTCTTCCATATCTCCCATGTGCCAGAGAGTGCTCCCACTGAAGCCAGGTCTCTTGGCAGCCATAACTGCAAGATCCCTTTGATCAGAAAGAGTGTAAGAGGAGTTGGTGAGACTGAAGCATGGTGGGAGTGCCCACACGTGGAAAGGGACCTATACTGTGCTGTTTATTCATTTTTGCATTTGAGCCATTCAGTAAAATACAGAGACAGAGCTGAGAGCAAAGGCCACAAGCCAGGATTTTCTGCTCCCACTAAGCAACAAATCATATTCCTTACACTTTCTCTCTCACTTTCATCTTGGAATCTTGATTCCTTTCTGCTTAGTGAAACTGCTTCAACATGAGGGAAGAATGTGAATTGCAGTCCTCTTGGACTGAAGAGGGCTTTGAACTTAGGTTTCCTGCTCCTAGACAAATGTCCTCGCCCCCAAGCTACTATGTGAAAGTTGAGCACCATCTCCATAGTTTCTTTAAATAAGAGTAACTCTCCCTCTTCATGTGTAAGAGACCTGGGCCAGGATTCCTACAGTGGCCCAGGCATCTAAATTAGGCTTTGCAATACATGACTTATAGATTCTGAAGTCCTTTATTGGCTTTAAGCCAAATGCTTGGACTCTAATCTCACCTGCATCATTGATTTAAGTGGAACTATTCCTGATTTGCACCTGAGCAAGGTCAGGTTCTGACCTATCCTCACTCAAGGGTATGCCAAAAAGCACTTTGAGTTAGTGTTGGTGAAGGCTTGACTGCTACTCCCCCTGCTGCATCTGTTCTGCAGATATGAAATAATAAGTTGGTATCCAGAGCTCTGAGTCATACACCTTTCTGCAGAGGGATGTTATCTAAATAATATAAAATACTGCTCTGTCATTCCATAGTGAGTAGCTTGATCTATTCATCATATGTGGTGTGTGGTAGTCAAGTAAATTCAGTGCCAGAACTTTCTTTGCTTAGCTGATTATATATAAATTAGGGAGAGTGTGAGGGAGGGAGAGGCTTCATCATAAAAGATGCGCTGAAATTCATGAGCAGAAGGAACCTATGGTAGTAGTTCTGGTTTTTTAATGTGGGCCGGTTCTTCATATGGTACCTAGATTCCCAAGAATTTCAGGGAGTGCATGCAGTAAACAGGGGTGTCAAATATTTGTTCCATGAAGCCTCTCACTCTGGCCTGCTGGGCTACTGGAATCTAGAGAGCATGGCTTGCCACAGAATACAGGGCCCTTTGGCCCTGCTGGCTTGCCACCTGAGCTGCTACCAGTCTCCCATTGCACCCCTAGACCCACTACCAGACCCTTGTCCCTGAAGCTCTCCCATTGCTATTGGACCTGCTGCTGCTGCCTCTGGACCCACTGCTGTAGTGGCTACAGTGGCTGCCCCCATTCTGTGGTCTAGATCCAGCCCGCGGCCCCAGGTGAGTTTGACACGTGTTGAAAAATAACTGACATATGCTTGCCTATATCACTTTGCTAACAAGGATCCAATGAACCCAATACTTACTTTGCAGGTAGAACAAAGCGCTGTAAGTCATAACAAAGAGTCCAGATTGTTTTGTTTGTTAAATCTTGGAGTCTTTATCCTATGGCTGTATGGTTGAAGACTTCAATCTACCAAGAGTACATGTCAATTTTAAACCTTCCAAGTTAAAATCAAATTAGCTTAATGAAATTACTTTTTCTGTTTTTAGCTTAATCTTTGGTAATTGAGATAATGTCAGCTTCTTAGGTTCTTATCTTGTAATTGATCTTGTCACTTTTATTAAGTACCTCCAGTTTTGTCTCACCATGCCTCTCTATCCATAAGTCGATTGTCCTATCTTAATCCCTGTAGTCTTTTTTTGTTTTCCTGAACTTCCAATTTAATTATAGACAACCCATAAGAATTCTACATTTATGCTGCTGGGCTCAAAACATAGATTCAGGAATAACCTGGGACTTAAGAGGGTTATAAAAAAAAGCTTGTGCCCAAATGGCAGCAAATTGGTATAGCTATCTTCCTTTCTACTTGGAAAATGACCTCCTATAAGGAGAGGGAGGTCAGGGATTCACTTGAGGAAAGTGAATTGTGAACTCCACTGTAAAGGAACAGGCTTTTGGAAACTGGTTCTTCTGGCCTTTGTTTTGAGCCCAGGTGCCACAGTGTAGGTAAAGGACTCTAATATTTGGATAGCAGGAACTAACTATGCTTTAGCCACTTCATGTAATCACTGAGGAGCGATAGCTCAGACACTTACATCATGAACCTTTTCTAATTGCTCTCTCTTGTGTGTGATCTGCAGGTGACCCAGAGTGAGATGAAGCTGTGTATTCAGCAGGAGTTTGATAAAGTACGGCAGCTGATCTGTGAAGAAGAGCAGAAAGCTCTCCACCTGGTGGACCTCCAAGAAGCAGTGGCCACTGCTCGTGTGACTGAGGTGCTGGCTGATATCAATGTCCACATGGCAAAGCTGATGACCGAGATGGTAGAGATCCAGAGGCAGCTAAACATCTTCAGTGAGCTAGCCTTGCTCAAGCCTGAGGTAACAACTAAGAATAGCTGTGGTTCTGGCAGGAGGCAGCAAAACATTGTGATAGGTTCAAAAAAGGAGTCTCTCTTATTGCATATGCCAGTGTTAAAAATGTCTATAAATGCCACTGAATGCCCAAGGTGGTAAGCCAAGATGTGAGTAATAATACATGATGGGTTGTGTGGTTACATTAGATACCCAGATGCTCTAAGCAGTTAAGAGGAACACAAAGCCAAATGTCTTTAACAACTTAATAGTGGCTTTCTGGTGTGCCGCAGCTCCAAGTCTCTAAGTCTGCTGTAGCTTTACAAGTCATCAAGGAGTGTTTTAACATTCTTGTAATATGGCTGATTAAGTAGATGCCTGTGGGGTTACCACAGAACCCTGGCCAGCCAGAGTTCTGAGCTGAATCCCTTCTTTTGGGATACCCATTTTGCAAAATGAGACCATTGTAGTTATAATGACACATCTGCATCCGTGTGAAAACAAAGCCTCTAAGTCAGTGGCATTCCCTCTTTTGTTCTGAACTCGCATGTAGATCTCACAGGGTTTGTGTTCCTATTTAAGCTACATCTTACCCTACCTGGGTCTTGAGTTGAGTGAGTATAGTGTAGACCAGAGAAGCAGTCTCCTTGTTCCTCATATGCATAACATTATACCTGACGGAGGGACTGAGCCATGGAATTTGGGTACATTGTGAAGTCATTAGATTCAGGTTTCTAGTTTGTGTCCATTATGAAGATGAACGCATTTTATGAAGTGTGGCTTGAAACTCGTCCACAATTGAACCAACCTCACTTAGACATTGCAACACCAGAACTAAACTGTCATTATGTTGTAGTTCTTTGTAGAACAGGTAGGCATGCTAATGCTACAATACAATATAACTGTATATCTGAAAACTCACAACGAAGAGCCGGTCTAAAGGATCTAGGTCTCCTTTCATACTGGTGTAAAACTAGAATAAAGTGAGAAGAAAATTGGGCCCAAGGAGTTTATAGCTAAACAAACTGGGGTGACTAAAAAAATTCCATATTTCATAAATCTGAGCATGTGAAGAAAGATCCATTACCAAACTCTGAAGGCTCCCGCCTCATTATACTAAAATTCATGCTAGACTTGCTATGCTGGATAGCAGGACCAAATAACAGAGAATGGCTATTGCTAGTAAAACAAAGCAATACTTCACAAAAACAAAAAGACTTCACACCATATACTTTTTTCAAGGACCAGTGAAAAGAGAGGGACCACTGAACCAACTTGGCTTATAATAATCATACTGCCCAAGACTTTATATAGGAAAGGTTGTATTTCCGTTATTCATCCTGAAGAGAATAACTTTTTTTCTTTAAACCTGGTGTGTGTGTGTGTGTGTGTGTGTGTGTGTGTGTGTGTGTGTGTGTGTGTGTGTG